ATCTAGCACTATTATTTTTAAATGTTTACATTACAGTGGCACATTTATTATAAATGAGTATTCATGTGTATGTGTTTCTGAACTCCATTCCTTCTATTCATCTATCTGTCCATCTTGGCATCAATACTATTTTAATTAATGTAGTCTTAATAATAACTACCTACATAAGATCTCTAACATTCTTCCTCTTCTTCAAGATTGTCTTTGCTATTCTTTTTTTTCTTTTCTTTTTTTTTATTTCATTATATTATGGGCGCACAGATATTGTGTCTTTGCTATTCTTGGCCCTTTGCATATCCATATGAATTTTAGAATCAGGCTGTCAATTTCCACAAAAAAAATCTGATGTTTTGGGGGACTTTATTTAATCTCTAGATAAATTTAGGGAGAATTTAAATATTAACCATAATGAGTCTTTTAATTCTAAAAAATGATATTCCTCTTTATGTAGATATTTAAATTTTTACCTCAGCAATTTTTTTTTAGTTGTCTGCAAAGAAATTTTGTACATCCTTTGTTAAATGTATCCCTGGGTATTTGATTTTTTTATACTGTTGTATCTTTTTTCAATTTTAATGTGAAATAAATTTATTGTTAATATATAGAAATATAATAATTTTCTTTTAGTTTGGTCTTATATTTATCCACAGAGTTTTTAGATTTTCTATGTACACAATTCCATCATCTGAAAATAAGATGAATTTTCCCCTTTCTTTTCAATTCTCATATCTTCTATTTTTCTTGCTTACTATGAAATCCAGTAAAATGTTGAATCAATGTGATGATAACTTATATAAGTAAGCTTTTCAAAAATTCAGGGTAAAAACTTTCAATAATTCAACCTGAAATTAAATTATTTGTGTATATTATTATAAAGTTACTTCCATATATTTTTGAAGATATTAATTATCAGAATGAAGAAATTTATTTTTATTTCTATTTTACTACAAGTTTTTATTATGAATAAGTGTTGACTTTTATCAAATGCCATTCATACATCTATTGAAATGATCATATGCTTTTTCTTTCTTATTCTATAAATGAAGTGAATTTCATTGATTGATTTTTTAAATGTTAAACCAACCTTGCATTCCTGGAAAACTCTAACTTTTCATTATTCTTTTTATGTGTTTCTGCATTTAATTTACAAAGATTCTTCTTAGAAATTTTGCCACTATGTTAATGAGAAATATATGTTGGCAAAATAGTAGCTGCTTCTGAATTCGTAGTATCAAGTGACTTTTATGATTATTTTAAAGGGCCATAAACTCTTTCAACAAAAAAATTGGCATTCAGTGCTGCGTCTATTATAAAATAATGTGAAAAACTAAACTATGGCTTAGACATCCATGAGCAAAAATAGCTAAGAGTTTTATGAGCTCTCCCATGCCATGGATCTGAATAGCAAGCAGAGGAATGGGGGTGCAAGCTCTGCACTTTGTGGACATGTCTCTGAGCACACAGTTTTCTCTTGTAGACAAGTATGATGAATCCCTATAATGGTCTGCCTTTAGGACAAATTCCTAACTCCTTAATACAGAACCTAGGGCCTGTGTGTCCTGGGATCTATATACTTCTCTAGCCTCATATCTCATTCTGTTCCCTAGTCCCCCCCTGCAATCTTCTTATAATCTATGTAGCTTAGATGTAAAGGCATCTTTGTGCTTCCTTAAATATATCAAGCTTTCACTCATCTTGGAGACTGTGACCTATTTCTCTTCTGATAGCACCTACTTTTTCTACTTAGGATTCTGCTATAGTTTTCTCTCTTGGTATAATTAATTATACAAGGATATCACTGAGGATAGCTACTATGTCTTACTAATCTTTTTATTCTGTAAACTTGGCCAACATATAAGAGACACTTGAAAGAAGTATTTATTTGAAATGAATGAATGAATGAGAATATATTTACTATAATTCTCCTGTGTCCACTGATCCTCTCAGTGTAAGAACTAAGGACCAAAAGATAAGTGAGAAAAGCAATAATACCACTAATTTATTCATTAATTAAGTCAGCAAATGATTATTGAATCTTAATAACTGACATCTTTGTGCTTTCAAAATTCAGGGTAAAAACTTTCAATAATTCAACCTTAAGTTGATTATTATGTGTTTTTGATATTTTGTGTATTTCTTGCTAAGCACTATGCTAGATATAGACAGTGTGGTAAGGCAGAAAAACTCAAAAAGTTTATAGTCTAGGGAGGAAGACAGTCAAGTTAATATAATGAGGAAAAAAAGAGTTAAAATTTAAAATTACAAATTGAAATAAGTTCTATAAAGGGAAAAACAGGTCACTGAGTTCCAGAACATAAGGAATGGGGACTGCTTATGTCAGAGATAATTTTCGGGCAGCCACTTTGAGGTGGTGACTATTAAGTTGACTTCTGAAAAATGCAGAGCAAATCAAAACTCTTACCCTTACACAGTTCTGAACCAGGGTACTTAACCAGATTATAATCATTTTCAGGTTGGTTTACCTCAGCAGTTCTCAAAGTATTGTCCAGAGACCAGAAGGGGTTCTAAAACCCTTTTAGAGAAGCTATGAGGTCAAAACTATAATTCTAACATTATCCTGTCTCTTCCACTCTCATTATCTCACAAGGGTATGGTAGCAATTTTCAGAGGCTATATGACATATGATGTCACATTAGATTGAATGTAGAAGTTGTCCCTTATGAAACCAGATATTAAAGAGATTTGCAAAAAAATATAACATGGCTCTCCTTCTCATTCAATTTTTATTTTAGACAATTAGTTATATTGATAAAAATATTTATGTTAACACATAATGAATTTATTATTGCTGATTTACAATAATTTAATAATTACTTTAAAAACTTGCCAGTTTTAATTTCCAATATGGGAAATATCCATAGGTAATGTACAAATAAACAATAGCTCTTTTGCATTCTCAAAAAATTTTAGGATATAAATGGGTCCTGAGACTGAAAATTTGTGAAACTCTGGTTGAGCTGGTAGAATTAATATCATGTAAAAAGAATAATGATCACTAGAAAAATTATCACTGAAGACACCCAAAATAACATATATAAAATGATCCCTGCTAACCTTACAACTTTGGACACAAATTGAAAGCATCTGCCTGAAAATTAAAACATTCTGTCAAACATCTCCAATGTTCCAAAAAGTCCAATGTTTAGAAGGTTATGGACAAAATATTCTGGGTATTTGAGTGAACATGGTCAGAGCTCCATTAGAAGGAAATTATTTAGTGCTCTATAGATTCAGACTGAGTGCTTTCCATTTTAATTGGAAAATTTTGCAGCCTCTTTTTTATAGCATAAGAGATAGGAAACCAGGCATCATTTCTTTTTTCCTTTACCAGGCATCCTTACATGAAATAAAAATAAAACCAACTCTTCAATTTAAACTTTTGGAATCTTTTCTTTGAAATGTTGACTACAGTTCTCTCCTCCCAATTGTTCTGTGCTAAGACTGCTCAGTCACTGCTCAAAATGATCAATCCTGAGCCATACTCTATGGAATATTCAATCATTCCACACCTTGGCCTGCTGTCTGGGTACCATGAGCACCATACCCCATCACATTTTAGTCTAATTTTTACTCTTATTGGCAAAACTATATTTAATGGGACTCCCAACCATAAGATATCAGTTACAAAAAAAAAGCGTCTTCAACATTCATTTAAAAAGAAAACTAACTTCATTCTTCTTTTATTAAAAAAAATCTATTTATTTTTCCTTGTAAAATAATATATATTTTACACTTTATCTGAAACTAAACTAGACGCCTATCAAAAAGAAAACAACAACAAAAAATCCCACCAAAAAAAAAAAAATGAAAGTAGCAGAATACATTAAATTGGTAGATTTTTATGAATATTCTACTGTTCTTATTAAAGTTTTATAGACTTGTTTACTGTGCTTTACCCTAAGAAACACTTGTATTTCCACCAGATTTTGCAAACAGAAATTATCATATTACTTTGAAAATCCTTCTCTTAGAACTTAATCTTTTACAAAGTTCTAGCCTACTTTTCCTATTGTAAATATGTCCATGCAGATTTATACAAGGTAATATATATGAAAGTGCTTTACACTATAGATATATACACTAATATATTAGATTATTATTGTAAGTAAAGAAAACAAAATAAAATATGATCTTTTTAAGTAAAAACTGTTGACATTATTCCTATCTAATCACCTTCTATCAGTCTGTAAGAATGCCTTACCAAATTTAAACACTCTTTTTTAATTGATTAATAAAACATTTCTACACTGACCTGTTAGAGTCTATATGCCACCAAGTGATCAATCTGTAACTGCAGCCATTTTTGTTTAAAGATCTCCAAGTGCTTCTTGGATACTAATTACCCTATTCCAGAAAGCTTCTCCATTAGCAAAGTTCTACAATATGCATTCTCCTACCTACCTGAGTACTGAAACAAAAATAATGATTTGTAGATATTATAATAGACAATATATCAGACTTTACTATTATGTTTATAATTATTTACACTAATTTCTTTAAGTGCAATGATAACATCCTCCAGAGCTAGATATTTTCAATTCAGACAGCAAACAGGTTCTCAGAATTTAGGAAAAAAATAAAAATATGAAAACTCAAGCCTTAAAATAGCAAACTCATAATAATTGTTATTCCTGTTCTGAAGACTCAATTTGTTTGAACAGATTTGACTAGAAAAAAGAAAAATGACACTCAATGAATTTGAGGATGTGGAATTATTATATTTCTTCAAAATAGATTGCTAATAATAGTTTAAAAGACATCATGACATTGTAAGATGAAACTATTGCAATATAATTATTCTATTTTTAGAGACTATGAACTCATAAGTACAGATTTTGTCAATAGAATTTTATAAAACCTTCTATAAAGTGATCATTTACTTAGAGGTCCTTGGTCATCATATCCCTTTAACATTCTTAAATTTTTCAGCATATTATGATTATGATTTAGAAAAATAGAGGTCTTCAGAAGATACTTACTTCATGTATTTGCTTGTGTATGGTAGAATCCTTTATTCACCAAAGTTTGTATGTCCCATCTTCATTTCCCTGTTAGTATCACTCTAAAATGAAGAAATGGAGAGAGGAAGATATGAAAACACTTTTTGTTCTTAAATTTTCTGGCATCCTGAGCAAACACTGTTGAGAACTTCACCACTGGTTATCAAAAGAAAAAAAAAGTGACTTACAAAGTATATTTGGGACATAGATGTCCAAAGGAGACACCTCCTATCCTTAAATGCATGATATGCTTATAAGGAAAGTCACTTTCCGAGGGAAAAAAAAGTAGACAAAGGTGAAATCTCAAGTTTCAGCTTTACTTTTGCTTATATCAGAGAAAAAAGAAGAACCAGGCATCTCCAACAGCCCTTATACATTTCTGGGAAATAGTAGCAAGTGGCATGCCCTACACTGTGCAGCACTCATCATGACTTACAACAAGTCATAGATTTTGCCCCAAATTCATCTGTCAATCTTACATGGTAAATTGGATTATCAGATTATTAGAACATAGTTAAATGTATTTAAATTACCATTTGTACAGTTGATGGAGATTTATATTAATGTAGCTGGTACTAGATAATATACAACAAGGAAAATATCATGCTTAGCATAAATCAAACAAAATATTTGGGACCTCATATGTTTAACATTTGATGCATCTGAACATTTTTCACGAGCATTTCAAGTTTTTCTTTCTCCGTCCTATCTCTAGGTAATGTTGCTAATGGACAATGTAGAGGACATAAAGTATGTGACTTTTTTTTCTTTCCCCTTGGTTGAAGCTGAGCAATCAGTTGGCACATTCAATGGGGGAGGAAGGGTTGGCTGGGTTGCAGCTGAAGGAAAATCCTGTGAAATCAAAATATTGGTTACTTAATGTTAGTGAACAAATAAATGAATAAATTGAGGATAATGGCAAGCAAGTTTCTCACTACTGGAGGAGTTACAAGCATGGAAAGAGTGAGTGATGGAATTAACCTCTTGTCCTGAGTAGGAATTGGAAGTGTCAGTATTGACTCATCCTTTTTAAATGTACATAAACAGAAATAGAGCTATATGTGTGCATGTGTGGGTGTGTGTATACATGTATGTATTTTCCAGCTCTGTCTGCATGAAGGGCCCTAACAGTGGCACCTTGGTAGAAGCAAGGATCCAAGGTACTCAGGTCTTGATTTCTAAGTAGCGTTTTCTACTTTAAAAAAAAAAAAAATCTACTTTAAAAAAAAAAAAAGGGTCTTGGGAAATGGCTGAATCCAGGACTGGGGCAAGGAAACAGCAAAATGAGCCTGGAACATCTTATGCCAGAGAGTAAAAATATGTTCAGTGAATTATGAGAACAAGTCAAAGAACATAAGAGCCAGCTTAAAGGGGCTTTCATTGGCAAAGGTCAGCACAATTTGGTCATTGAAAATTATAATAATAACATTGAATTTATCCCATTGAGTGAAACAGGATCCCGAGTCAATACTGGTATAGACGGTAGGTAGATTAGATAGATGATAGATAGATAGACAGATAGATAGATAGATAGATAGATAGATAGATAGATAGATAGATAGATAGATAAAGGAAAGGCCTACCTTACAATACCATGACATAAATGTAAAAGGAATGGTAGATTTTGCAAAATCACCTTTTGTTACCCACTATAGAAATAACTGTTTCAGGCAAGAGTCATCAAAGGATGGTAAAAATAGTGGGTAAGAGTTTGATAAGGAAGAGTATATTTATAGTCTCAAACTGTTCCCCCCAAATTGTTAATTTTTCATTAATTAATAGGTAAAAAAATACACATTAAACAGACTTAAAATGGAGAAACCTGGAAAATACCATTGAAATCAAGTGATAAATGTTAAATAGTAGAAAGAATTAGACATGTTGACATCATGTACCTCCAGAAATAATGCCACAAGTAGACAGTATCATTTCTGTGGTACTTCTACCAAAAATACATAAATCACAAGAAAGCATTAGATGAAACTAAATTCTAGGACACTCTGCAAAATAATTGGCTTGTATTTTTCAAAAATATCAAGGTAATAAAGACAAGGAAAGACTGAGGAACTGTTCCATATTGAAGAATACTGGAGAAAGTTGTCAACTAAATGCAATATGTGATCTTGGATTGGATCCTGGACTTGGTAAAGAATGTTATTAGGACAATTGACAAAATTTGAAGGGATATTACCATTTAATCTATGGATTAAATGGTAATATCTTATTATTGTCAACTCCTTGATTTTGAAGTTTTTCTGTGATTACATAGGAGAGTTTCCTTGTTTTCAGGAAATATACATTGAAGGTAATGAGATATCATGTCTGAAACTTACTCAAAAAAATATATAGTAAAATGCATATATATGCTTATTACGTGTTTGTGTGTGTATAAGAGAGGCAGAGACAGAGAGACAGAGAATGACAAAGACAGAGGAAGAGCTCTAAAATAGTAAAATAAATGTACTAAAATGCCAATATTTGGGAACTTGATTGAAGGTTATATCAGAGATCTTTGTACTGTTTTTGTACCTTTTGTATAAATTGCAAATCATTTCAAAATAAAAAGTTAAGGGAAAAAAATCAATTTTCCCCACCTCTCAATAAAAAAGCAAGAAACTATGATTTTTTTAAAAAAAACAAAAAACAAAAATGTGTGCGTGTGTGCGCACACACACACACGCACACACACACATAAGAAGCAATGGCTCAGAAAGTCTCCAAAAAATAATTCAAGGTTGTAGGAAACTATCAAAATATAATAAGAAAAAATAGTTGTCTATTTCACCCAGTTCTGTCTCCCAAGAGATGGATCTCAAAATTTGGGTTCCAAATTTATGTCCACTTTTCTCTATTTCAATGTATTGATTTCCAGTTTCTTAGAGAATCATTCTGGCAGGTTGCACCCCTTCCCATATTTCTCAATGAGGCCACCTTCCAAATAGCCTATCTAAATCTTTATAAATGTTCTCAACCAATATCATCTCTCCCACGTAGGAAGAGGTTTTTTAAAGATTTCTAGACAATACCTAGTATTTTAATTTGAGGCATTGTGCCTGAAAATTAACTTTCTTCCCCCTAGTGATTTGTACCTAAGGTGGGGGAGACCTTGGATGGAGGCAGAGAAGAGGGATATTATCAGAGGTGTTTCTTTTCAGCATAGAGGTTTTATAATCAATAAATTTCATGTTATTTCTCTGTGATTTTCTCTAAGTCTAGATATTGAGTTTCATGATTAAAGTTTAAGACTATCTTTTAAGTATGCTTTTTTTGAAAGGGAACCTTGGGCTCAATATTTATTTGAGTTATGAACTGCAATAAGCAATTCTCTGTGTCATAGTCTTCCAAGTTTTAAAATTTTTGATCGATTAACAGTTGTGTTTTAGAAAGTTAAAAACTTCTTCCCCTAAAGAAACTAAATGCTGTGTTTGCTGTGTTGGGAAGATAGAATAATTGACATAAATCTAGTGTGACAAAAGTCCCAGCTAGATCCAAAATGATGATGATGATGATGGTGATGATAGGAGTGGTAGTTGTGATGATGGTGACGAAGAAGGAGGAAGAGGCAGATAGAATGATGATGTTAATGATTACATGTGCTAAAAATTTTGAGGGCTTATTTAGGTCCTGCTTTAAGTTCCCCACATGTCCTTAGCATATCTAATCGTTAAATAACTCAGAGGTAGATATTATCATTATGTCCATTTTGCAAGTGAAAAAAACTTGAGTTTTCGAGAGACCAGGTATGTTGCCAAAGGTCACAGAACAAATAAAAGGTGGAGTCAAGCTCCAAACCCAAGTCACTATGTCTGTCTCACACTGACATGTAGAATTAGGAGTTGTCCCTCTCCTTCCAGGCCTCCTCTGCCAACGCACAGCAACTATACTCCCTGAAATTTCATAGAACCTAGAAGTTTTATGGAAAATACTTTAAACTTGTCCACTGCTGTAGTTATATACATACAGACATGTCTGATATATAGGGGGACTATGGAAGCAAGATTATAGATGGCAACAGAGAGGCCCCTGTGTGTATATGTGTGTGAGAGAGAGAAAAGGATAGGGGGAGAGAGAGAGATTGAGCAATTAAAGTCAGAGAGAGCTGTGTCTGGCTGCCCTGGGAAGAAGAAAACTAAATTGCAAATCTGAAAGAAAAGCAACTAACGATTTGAGCAACTCTGCTGGGTGGCCTTCTCCCATGCCCATTGCCACTGAATGGGAGGGACATTAGATGGAAAAGGCACTGCCCAGAGCACAGTGGAAAAGCAGTCGCCACAATGTGTTCAAGGTACTGGGTGGTCAGCACCATTGCCCAGACAGCCTGAGGTGACGTCAGGAGCCAGCTGGCATCAGAGCAGCCCAGCACTAGGCCACCAAGAGGGACAGGCTGAGCAAGAAATGTAGCCAAGGCAGGCAGAGGAGCAGGTAGGCTGAGGAGAGCATCTCACACCAGGAAACCTTTCTTGGAAACCTTAACTTAGCCCCAAGAAAACAGAAAGACTGATTTTCTCTATTTGAGTGGTGACAGCTCTTGAGTTCTGCAACTTAGAAGTAAAGTCTTAAAGTGATCTATTCTCAGATCTACACGTGCTTGGCACCCAAGCATACCTGGGTTATCATTAACATTGAAGAGCCTACTCTATTTTTAATAAATAATCTAGATTTGCTTTCAATTATTGAAATCTTAAATCCCTACTTTTATTTCCTGTCTGTTGTAAAAGATGAGCCAGGAAAAAGCGAACTATGATTCTGTGTATTTTTCTGACGAGCCTTTCAACCACCCAAATGTGAAAACTGATGATTTGCTATCTTTCAGGCTGCTCTTCCTACACATTAGTGGAAGCTTGTGTAGACATTAGAATGATCTGGGACACTACTGGGACTTCATTCATTCACTCATTCAGCAAATATCGGCTGAGTGCTTACTCTGTGCCAATTGCTTGATACACACAAAGCCAAGATCCCTCACCCTCGTGGAGTTTAGAGTGCAGGGAGAGAGATCATTAACACAATGCATAATTAATAAGTTAATTATTTGGGATGTTAGAAGGTACAAGGGCTATGG